ATTTCATCTAAGTTTGCGAAGCAAACTGGAATCTCTGTTGACCCAACTCCTCGGCAAATTCGGTTAGGCTCTAACGAGGTTGTAACCACTGATGGCGAGGCAAACGTGTATCTGAAGCTGGGCACTTTCCAGTCTGCTGTTCGCTGCTCTGTGATGCCATTGCTCCATGAGGTTGATGTGATTCTGGGTCAGAAATTTATGACTGGCCATAAGTGCATTCTGGATTTTGAGCGTTCTGTTGTACTGGTTAAGAAGGGTCGACGGAAAGGTTACCGTAGCTAGAGCTCCTCTGCACAGGGAGGTCAGACCTGAGGTTAGTGATACGCCACTAACTGTGGTCAGTGCTACGCAGATGAAGCGCGCCTACAGGAAGGGCCTGAGCGTGTTCCTCGCTGTCATCAAACCCATCGAAGAACCTGAAGTACTGGCTGCTGCTGTTTCTGGTCAACCTGGTCAACCGCCCCCTCGGGGAACGTTCGACAGTTTCGACATCTGTACCCCTTCCGGTAAGGAATCTTGGGTTGCTGGAATGGTCTCGGAGTATTCTGATAGTGTGCATAGCCATAGCCAGCAGTGTTAAAACCCCCCTGATCTGCAACCGGTGGAGGCCCGAATACGGGCCCAAGACGTTCTACGCCCCATCAGGCTTTCTGAAGATAGAGGATTTTCACCTGGCGCCCCATTGGGCGCAAGCATACGAGAAGAAATTCTGAGACCATTGCAGAGGGGGACACGATGGGATGCTCTAGGGGACCATTGCCCCCATTTTGCTGTTGACCATTATCATGGGATAACCGAGCATTTAATGGAGTTGTACATCTCGCCATTGCGGGCGCTAGGAGTAGGGTCACGCTCACGTCGCCCTAACAAAAGATTCCCTCTCATTATACCTTCAACTACAGCATTGTCTGCATCAGCAGAGGTGGTACCATCATGGTTGCCACCCAGGTCCCCCATGGACTTACCCAAAGGAAGCTTTCTTCGCCGTGTGACAGATGGCCGGGGGTAAGGTGCAGGAGATGGTGGGGGGCGCCGCTTAGGTGCCACCACCTCGTTGTCCTCAGTGTCACTGATCTCCAGGTCGGTGAAGTGGTCGTTGGGGTCGTCCAGTGGATCCCAACTTGGACCAGAAGACGAGGGGCTGAAGAGATCCTGTGCAGGCATCTGCCACAACCTCAAAGGGGTTGGCCCGGGGCTGGTTGGGCACGTTGGTGAGGGCGGCGAAGGAGAGTTTGGGCGCCTCTCCTTCCTGCCCATACAAGCAAAATTCTGCTGCAATTTTCTAGAGGCGAGTTGGGAATCGGGGACTTCCAGCTCGCGAAACTCTATTTATACTTATTCTAAGAATACGTACAGTCTTAAATATTTATTCGAAGAGTCTTATGGAAGCATTCACCACTATTATCGCACCTAAGCCTATTCGATAATAGTCTATTCCTCACTGCGCAGGACTTGTGAATCCTGAAACCACAAGGAGTAAATTCACGGCCGAAACCACAACCATGCTAACCTCACCTTGCAAAGTGCTAGCTTAAAGTTTTCTTTAGCATTTAGAGCGCCGACCAGATTCCACTTCCGTGCCTAGCAAGCAAAGCCTGTGGCCAGCGCCGGCGGTCCATCCAGCTTTGCGGAGATTTTAAAATGACATGCAATATTAGGGCAGCAGCGAGGCGGGCGCCGACAAGAAAAGTGAGTGGCGCAACGAGGTGTTTGGAGCCGTCGACTGAACCCTAGCTGTGCTTTGTATCCTAATGCTTGCACGATGTAGTGCATTGCGATTCGGCAGGCCAAAGAGGTGCACAGCGGGTGCTTTGGTAGCGTTCTTTGGTTGAAATTGTTGGTGGGCTGCTATTTGGTGGCTGCTTTTACTTGTCGCGCGAGCCGGTGTGTTTTGCTTGTAGTGGGCGCTATGTAGGCAGCCTTTCTATAGTGAAACTATTGGGGGGTTGTTTTTATATTGCTACGCTGCTTTTGTTTCGTAGTGGGCTCTTTCCTTTTTTGCGGACAACCTTTCTGAGTTCCAAACTTTCAGTGAGCTGTTTTCTATTGCAGCAAGCCGGTGCATTTTGTCTGCAACGGGCACCTTCTTTCCTGCGGGCATCATCTTGTATTCTAAATCGTGACCATGTGGCGTAGAATCTTCTTTGCAATGGGCCTTTTCCTCTAATAGTGGTCTAGACCCCTACAAAGGATTCTGGTTGGTGGACAGTGTTAATTCACCAAAAAGGATGCTTCTAGTTGAAGCTCTTCCTGCGCTTGGAAGAAAGTGGAGTATCTCCCTTATATTCCCGATCTGTTTAAATGATTGCCTGCTGATATTCTTTTGTCTTTGATGCAGGGAGGCGTATCTCAAACCCACGGACGCCGCTAAGCCGGTATCTTTCCAGACATGGCACTCTTGAGTGCTTATATTGCAAAATTGGCGGTAAGTGTTTTTTCAAAAATTCACTTATGCTTGTCACAAGTTAGGATCTAACCACACTCTCATATAAGCACCTTCACATCAAGCGTCGTTCTCCCTTTCAAGCATCTCTTAGAATGAATATCATCACATGACATTAGTCAAAAGTCAATCCCATCCTGTAGCTCGGTGTATTCCAACGTAGGTCGGGTCTACTTCCACCACCCACTAGTCGGTTTCAACTATATGGACCCCTTTCCATCAAGGGTCACTCTACTACAAACATTACGGCCTATTGTATTTTGGCTAGCCTCTTCCGGAGGATGAGGGGAGATATAGGGTTCGTTGAATTCGGCGCTGTACGACGCCGCGGCGCGAGCCTGGCGATTACTCAGCTCGAATGGCGGGTTTTCGACGATAAAACGTACAAGGAAAAGGAGAATAGTTGCCATGAAACGTTGAAGACCTTTGCCAGACTGGCGCGCAATGCGGCGCAGATGCTCGATTTCGCATCGAACGCTCGCGACTTTGATGTTCGACGGCATGGCTGTATGCGTTGCCTCAGAGAGCTTAAGTATGAGTTTTGTTCGGCGACGGGGATCAAATGCGGAGTAAATGCGCACTTTGACAGCTTAGCTGTCAAGTCGTTCGCGCATGGAAAGTACCAACGTCGAAACTTCGAAAGTCAATAGCTCCAACGTCGAGCTTCGTGCATGGAAGGGTACGTACCGACATCGAAAGTTCCAAAATTTTAAAATTCTCGTTTGGAGGCCTGCATACCACCTTCCTGGAAGAGGCTAGCCGGAGCCGTCGCCAGGCGGCCCTACCATGTTCCACTCGGACTTGTAAGCGGGGCACCATACTACTAGTGGTCGGTAGTACCGTACTACTAATGACCAGTTGGGGAAGTATACTACTCGAATCGACTCACATCGAACGAGAGTCACCACCCAATCCGACGGTCGATATTAGACGAGTCAACTTTCGAATTGCACGGTCAATATCACACGACACAAACCACAATCCTACTATCGACATTACACGACATAATCCACGATCCTACGGCTCAACTCTATCGAGCCTAACTCAATAACTTGGCAGTCAATCAACTCCGTTTCTCAACACTCCCACGCGGACGAAATGTCCCGCTTACGTCTAACCTCTTTTACCCGCTCTTTTCTTGGACCTTGGCGTGATGCACCCCTTCTCGGTCGGTGTCTCCCAAAAGCTCCCGGATGCCGCTCAATCTCTATCCGGATACCGTTGGCCGTCCGTGTCCGGCGATACCACCCGCTCCGTCTCCTTCAAAGCTATCTTTGCCCCTGCTCCCACGCCTTTCGCTGCGGCTCCCACGGCTTCCGTTGTGACATGGTCTTCAACGCCTCCATCTCCGTGTCCACCCGGTGGACCTCTTCCTCTTCGTCATCCGAGTCAAGGTCCACCTCAATGTACTTAACCGGTTTCACCTCCACCAGCTTTCTCCCCGCGAGTATCGGCGGCTTCCTTGCTTCCTCTCCAAATCGAAACCCCGTTTTGGCCGGGCCCTTGACCGCCACGAATGCCCGCGGCTTCTTCACCGTTACAATCTCCCACAAGCCGCCGTGTTGTACCGCCTCAATTTTCACCACACCTTCATCTCGAACCGGGCTACTACCCTCTCAAGGGAGACCCTTGCTCCCGCGTCCGTTGCTCTCCGCACAGTGCTCAAACAATTTCGCCCTCGCTTCGGGACATGCCAAACCTCATTCAAGGTGACGTGCTCGCACTGTTCGGCGTCTCCCACTCCAAGACGACCTTTCCAATCCCCACCGCCGTTAAGGCTTAACTCCCTGAGCCCCTCTATCCTCTCCGTACGTGCAAGCCTCTCGTAGCTTGCGAATTGGCTCTTCTCTCGCCGTGATGTGTTCGGTGCTCCCCGAGTCAACGAGCGACACACCCGCCCCGCCGCCTCTTTGCGCCACGCCGTAAACGCCACACCGGCAAACTGCTTTTGGTCCGGCCGGTCCTTATCGCCACTCCTTGCACTACCCCGGAGCTTTCTACACACCGAGCTAATGTGCTCCGTCTCACCACACATGAAGCACTCCGCATTCGCCTTCTGACAATAGGCCCGGACGTGGCTCTTCTCACCGCAGGCGTAGCAAGTTGTCATACCTCCTTCCCCTTCCGATGACTTAACGCTTATTTGATCCCCTGGCAACGGTCACCCCATACCTATCCTGCTTAAAAACAAACGCCTTGCACGCAACAAACGCCTTCTCATCCTCCTTCTCCTTCGGAGCCTCTAACTCCACTTCCAAGCTCTTCAACTTTTGCTCCTTTCGCATGAATATTGGTTGAAGCGTATTCAACGTCAACTCCGTGTCACTCAACTCTAGATACTCCAGTTGAGTTGCATACTTCTTTGGCAACCCATTCAAAGCATAGACCGCCAACTCTACCTCGAAAACGGTTCGACCCCGTTGAGATTAAGAATGATTGACGACCAAATCGTTGAGAGCAACGACAATTGGCACTTGTAAATATGAGATCGAACAAGTGGATTTCCCGGCAGATTGAGATGAAAAGGAGTTGAGTGCGTGGTAGATCAAGATGAAAACGATTGATTGCTTTGATAGATGAAGAAAAATGGAGGTCAGTGCGTGGCAAATAAAGATGAAAGAACTCGAGTGCTTGACGGATTAAGCTGAGAAAGAATGTGTGCTTGACAAATAAGGATTAATTAGCCAAGTGGTTGCCGAATTAAGATCAGACATATTTGAAGGAGATTTTGAACCTGAGAACGATATATGCAAGAGATTAAGACCATTTCCCGTGGACCGTTCGTTGATACTTGGTTGGAGTGCTTGAAGCTAGGCCTTCGATTCTAATATCCACGTATCTAAGGGTGATAGTAGACTTGGACTAGATTGGAGTAGACCTAGCTACGGGATTGGGCTTGACTTGAACTATTGTCATGAAATTTGACATTCATACCTGGAGATGCTTGGAGAGAGTTCATCGCGCTTTTTGTGAAGGCGCTTGTGTGTGGGGGTGGTTGAATTCCTCGTAGGCTTGGAAGAAGCTTGAGGAGAACCTTGAAAAGACAAGCAATGCAAGGATTGTCCAATTGAGGAAGAAGTTGACAAGCTTGACGTTGACCCGTATGAAGAGCATTGCGGAGTACGTGGGAGACTTTCGAGATTAAGGTGGATATGGAGACGGCGGGTCAAACCGTCCCCAGAGTAGATTTGGCAATCCATGCCTTCAAAGATTTGCCAAAGGACAATGGTGCAAGTCAAGTTCAATCCCGTAGCTAGGGCTACTCCAACCTAGTCCAAGTCTACCATAAGCCTTCGCCACGTGGTGTCTATAATCGACGGCCAAGCTTCGCTCACTCCAACCAACAACCATCGACCGGTTCACACACAAATCCGGTCTGAATCTCTTGCATCTACCTTTTCCGGGTCCTTGATCTCTCAAGTTCTCCAAATTTGTTTGGTCGTTATCTGCCAACTACTCTGGCTACTTGGTCTTTGTTGAGATTGTTGAGATTCACCTTGTAGGGGACTAGAATTGTGTGGTTTCACTCGTCATCGGGTCTTATCGTAGCTGCCCGGCACTCATGCTCATCACACG